TGATTCTTTTTTGTTTATTCCTAAGTTCTCTTTACGCGAGCGACTTTAGCGCCCACACTAGAAGAGAGGAAGGAGGTAGGGAAAGGACCGCGGTCCTCTCAGTGTCTTCCGCTGTCTCAGAACGCAGCACTGAAAAGGGAAATACTATTTATGTATGCCTCGGAAATGAATTTGAAAATACAAACTAATTTGCAGCGTCCATTTTCTCGCTTGAAAGGCATCGTAACAGCTTTATCGTTTCACCCTCGTCAACCTCTTTTCTTTGTTGCAACGCAACGGCATGTGCGCATCTATGATTTGGCAAAGTGCCAGCTGAAGAAAAAAATTATTACGGGTTCGCAGTGGGTGAGCTGCATGCTTGTGGACACCTATGGAGACAATTTGTTTGTTGGTGGCCACGACAAGACCTTCTCGTGGATCGACCTGCAGCTTTCCAGTAAGCCATGGAAATGTGTGCGCCACCACACTGCAGCTGTACGCGCTGTTGCTCAGCACCGGAGGTAATTTTTTAATTCATTTGTTCATTTTGTTTCGACACTGTAATTGCAGCACTGACGGTGAGCTCCTGTATCATCTGTTGATGCGTTGATTTTAGTCTGAATTGATGAATTTATGCGTTTTAAGCATGTCTAGCATTTGGTTCTTTATACGAACTTTTCAGAAATTTGAATTTTTTTCTAAATGAAATTTGAATTCATTGAGACGACTTGATTTGTACAGGTATCCGCTGATAGCAACTGTATCGGACGACGCAACAGCAATCGTATATTATGCCCGAATTAGCAACGATCCGTTGAAAGAGAATGAATTTGTCCCCGTGCGACGGTTGCGCTCGCACTCACCTCAAAAAAATGGTCTCGCCATATTAGCAGCAATATTCCATCCCACTCAAGCTTGGCTTATTACGGCCGGCTCCGATGGTTCCATTGCACTGTTTACGTGAAGCTGTGTTTGAAAACGTATTTGGTATGTGCGTGAGGTATAATTACAGGTTTTCAGGAGCATAAGTGATTTTATATCAAAAAAATTAAAAATTTATTTTTAGTTTCTTAACTTCGGCTGTCACAAATTTTTTACGTAATGCTACTTCTCAGTGACTTTTTTCCCTGTAGTTTTGTAAAAAATTACGAAATGACTATTTTATTTGATAAATCTGGACTTGTTGTGATTGAAGAAGACAAGAGATGAGACCATATAGATAGAAAATCCTATTTATACAGATTTTCTCGTTTAGTTCTACCGCATATTCATGAACTTTGTGCATTACATGAAGTACCTTTCCGGATCATATATCATACCAAATGTGGGTAATAGACAGATCGAACAGAGCACACCTACAATTTGTACAATACCTATTTTCTGCATAAACAGGGAAATGTTATCTAAATGGGCTTATGCGTTTGCTTGTAATAGACTAAGCACACTTTTGCTACAGACAGTACTAATACAAGCATAGCTTGTAGTGCAAAAGACAACATATTGGTTTTTGTAAAACCGCAGGCCTTACTCGTCCTAGATAAAACCAAAAGCTACTGAGTTATACTTCGACGATATTCCAAA